ATGGTCATTAACAAAACATCTCAAGTATACTTCAATTGTGCAGTTAGTCACTTTTCTCTAGCCATTAGTTTGAGGGTAGTATGAAGAATTAAATCTCAATTTAGTGTGAGAGAGACAAAATAGCTCGTACCAAAATGAAATGATGAATATTTTGTCCTTATCCAAAACTATAAAAGTAGGGAACCCATGCAAATGAACAATTTCCTTCTCAAACACTGCCATTACCTCTTTAACTGAGTATGGATGAAGTAACGGAATGAAATGAGCATACTTGCTCAATCTGTTCACCACAACCATAATATTGTCAGCTCCCTTAACTTTTGGAAGTTAACCAATAAAGTCCATGGAAATATCTTCCAACACATGCATAAGAATAGGTAAGGACTAAAGTGACCCTACTAGTTTAAGATTTTTATGTTTATTCTGTTGACAAACTTGATAGGTAGCCACAAACTTTTCTACATCTTGTTTCATTCCATTCCAATAAAACAACATTGCCAACCTTCTATAAGTTCTAGTGACCTCGGGATAGCCACCTCAAGGTGACACGTGGAATTCCGTCAACAGAAGTGGAATTCTAGCACAATTTTTGGATAGTACCAACTGTTGTTTATACCACAAACAACCTTGAAAAACTGAATAATTTGGGTGGGAACTTGGATTTAACACTACCTGTTGCATAATTTTCTTTAATAGCTTATCTCCCAAAATTTCTTCAGCCATTTTCACTAAATTAGAATTAGTAACCATATATATGACCTTATAATTCATTATTCTGGACAAAGCATCAACTGCCTTGTTTTCTAACCTAGGTTTATATTGGATTTTGAAATCAAAACCCACTAATTTGGTTACCCATTTCAATTGCTCCTTTGCTAATACTCATTGTTCCAATAGAAACTTCAAAATCTTTTGATCGATCCTAATAATAAAATGATTACCTAACAAATATTAGCGCCATTTCTGCACAACAAACTCAATTGACATCAATTCACACTTATACACTAATTTCACCTTATTTTCATTGGCTAGGGCTTGACTAACAAAAGCCAAGGGTCAACCTTATTGTATTAAAATTGCCCCAACTCCATATCACGACACATCAGTTTCAAACACAAACGACAAGTCAAATTTTAGCATTGCTAAGGTTGGCAGAATCTCTATTTCCAACTTCAGTTGCTCAAAAGTTGTTTGTACTTCCTTTGACCAATTAAAACTATTTTTCTTTAACATTTGCATTAGAAGTTTAGCAATAACTCCATAATTCCTTACAAAACAGCGGTAGTACCTCGTCAAACCTAAGAAGCCCTTCAAACTTCTAATATCTTTAGGTATCGACCATTTTTTCATTGTAAACACCTTTCATGGATTAGTAGAAATTCCAGTAGTAGAAATCACATGCCTAATATACTTTAACAGTGTTTCTCCAAAACTACACTTCTTACCATTAATCCACAGTCTTGACTTCTCAATATTTGAAGAACTACGCTAAGACGATTAATATATGAAGTTTAATTTGGACTATACACTAGAATATCATAAAAAAAAAATAAAAATACTAATATGAACTTACATAAATATGGTTGAAAAATCTGATTCATGAGAGCTTGAAAGGTTGAAGAAGTATTTGTTAACCCGAATAGCATCACCACATGCTCATAGTGCTCTTCATGTGTCTAGAATGTTATTTTTAGGATATCATTCTCTTTCATACATATTTAATGGTAGCCTAATTTAAGGTCGAGCTTAGTCGCCCCAACTAACTCATCCAATAATTCTTAGATAACTAGAACGAGAAATTTGTTTGAAACTATTATGCTGTTGAGAGCACAATAATCCACACAAAAAATGCCAACTACCATTTTTTTAAACTAAAATCAATAAATTAGAATATGGACTGGTATTTGGCTTGATCAATCTTGCTGGCAACATATCCTTCACAAATTTTTTAATTTCTTCCTTGTGGTAATGTGGATGTCTATACAAATGAATGTTTGGAATTTGTGCTCCTTCTTTCAAAATTATCACATGGTCACATTCCCTCTTTGGTGGAAGGGATGTTCTTTCCTTGAACAATTCACCCAACTCCCTTAATAGTTCTTTCATAACTTTTGGAGTTACTTCTGACATATGAGTGGGTATATCAATACAACCTACATTCATTATTCCCAACTCCACATAGTAAGCCTCTACTTCACTCCTCAACCTCTTCATTATAACTTAATGAAGCATCTATCCGGGACAACCCTACATCGTCCTTTATCTCTATAACTTGCCCATCCTTTTGTACTTCAATTAAGTGGTGTCTCAAATCAGCACTGAACTTACATAAGCTTTTGAGCCACACATACCCTAGAATCACATTTATCCCAACCAATTTGAACAAGAAGAAATCTTGAATCACCTTTAAATTGGGTAGTTTCAACATCACTCTCTTACAAACACCTTGGCTACCCAATCTTTGCCTATCTCCTACTTCAACAAAATATCTCTTCTAGCCTTTGTCATAATTTTTAGTTCCTCCACTAATCATGGGGACAAGAAATTATAAGATACCCTCAAATCCACCATCATAATAATTTTCTCTCCCAAAATAATTCTCCATAACTTCAATTAGTTCTTGAAATCATCCTTGCAATACTGCTCACATTTAGTTGGAGGTTCACTTCCTCCACTTCTTCCTTTATCGAGTTTTTGCCATGGTCCTCATCCTCCTCTCCTAGTATGATTACATGGAGCTATTTTTTGCAACATATAAGGCCTAGTGTAAATTTCTTGTCACAACAGAAACATAGTCCTCTCCACCTTTTCTCATTTTCCTCTTCCTCTGTCAATCTCTTGAATCCTAAACCTCTACGATGAGAACTCATTGTAGAAGAGTTGGGTGGGCTGTTATGAGTCCCTTGGGTTTCGACCCAACTCCCATTGGGACATGCTAGTGTCCGTTGCCCCATTGAAAAATTAGGTTTAGCTTTACCTGTCTAACTTTGCTTAATAGCTTCCAAGGCTTTAGCTCTAATAGCCTAACTCTGCTTAATAGAAGTCAACCCATTTCCCCTAAAGGATGGTTTGTGCGATCGGCCCAACACATGATTTTTTTTCTTCAGCTTTTTGCACCAGCTCCACGATCGCGCTCAAATCCCTTGAGTCCCTCAGTCTTACTTCTGCCTTGATCTTGCCCCTCAAGCTATTTAGGAATGCTTCAATCATAAACTCCTTGTTTGCAAAACAAAGAAGGGCAAAAAATAGCTCAAATTGTTCCTTATACACAATAATTGACCCTTCTATCTTAATCCCATTGAGGCTCCATGTGGATTCTCCAATGATGATGACTTGAAGCAACCTAGTAGAGCTTGTCTAAATATAGGTCACGTAACTGTCAAGACTCTTGGTTCTCACCACTAATACCAATTTAGTGCCTTCTCTTCTAGACAAATCACTGTTGTATCCACCTTTTCTACTTTGGGAATGTTGTTAATCTCAAAGTACTGCTTAACCTTGTACACCCATCCATTCACATGATTCATCTCCAACAAAGTATGACACCTCTACACGCTTCACCCGTTCCTCCCTTGTCCTGGCGTCTCCCTCCAAATTTCCTCTTTCTTGATTACTTTTTTTACCTTCTCTCTTTGTTCTAACCTCCCTTATAGCTTCCTTAAATCTTTCTATCATTCCCTCATCACCTCATCCATCTGCCTCTGAAACTTCTCTTGAATGGAAGCTTGCATTCCCTCCATTTGATGTTCGACACTCTCCAACTAGTTCTCCATTCTGGTATATACCATTAGATGCTCTCAGGATTGAGAGTTTTGATACCAACTTATAGAAACTCAATGCAAAATTGGATTAATAGACCAACTCAGGAATTAATTCCTAATTTACACACAAAATAGAAATTTGATAACGGCAAAAAGAACAAAATAAAGTTACTAAGAAACGAATATCTCTTCACCTTGTGGCAACAACTACCCCAAAATTATCCAAATATTTCTTGCCTTCCCCCTCCATCCATCCTTTCATATTAGTCCTCCACTTAGCTGATTCCCGCATCTTCCGCACCATTCCCTTCATGTCATGCATTCAGTTTGTTAGAATCCTTCAAAATAATCTCCTTGCTTATATTTTCCATCTTACCATTATGGTTATTTTTCCTTTTCTTATATGTCTTTAATGGAGGCCTAATTTGCTTAGGTTCAACATTTACAATAGCCTCTAAAATTTTAGTTATGCGCAAGAATAATTCAACATTTGAATGACCTTTGCAGTCAACTATTCATGTGTGAAATTTTTTTTATCATTCACGATTAATTTTTCCAAAATTTTTAATTCCCTTAATCACTATCCAAACATATGTGGTTTTGTGTTTTTGTATATAGAGTATAAGGTAGGGTTTCTTAGACATCCCCTTCGATGTATGACTATTAACAAATAACGTTTTAAGGTTTAATTTATCTTCAAAGGTAGTACTTACGTGCATAAAGGAGTAGTCTTGTGCATGTACAATTTTGATTTTATATAAATTATGGTGAATGGCTAAAATTGCAAATCGATATTACTTGATGAACCAGTAGTACTCAATCATTCATAAATTGTAATTTCAATCTTGAAGGATTAAGAACATTTTCTTTCCCATCTAACCGTGCTCAATGTGGTTCTCTTGGATTCGAGCTAGGTCTCTGTTAACTTAAGATAATTGGATAATTTTTTTTTCCAGAAATACTCTTATTTTTTAAACAAAATTCTTTGGCATTCTATAATAAAATTAATAAGATAGATAAATAAAAGGGATTTATTTGTACGTTATATAGTTAGTTTAACGATGAAAGAATAACGTAAAAGATATGATAGACATAAGAATGCAATTAAGGAAACACAATAGATTTGATAATTTCATAATTTAAGGATTTCATATTAGAAGCATACGAATAATGAAAATAGCAAATCTCTAATCATATATGTGTTGGCGCGTTATTTCGAGTTAAAAAGTAAAAAAATAAAAATGGCATAGGGGTATTGGCGTCAATGAAACCGCGAAAGCAAAACCCTAGTCACCTTCCTCTCATCCTCATATTTGCGAGTGTGTCAGTCACTGCCGCAGCAACACAAGGCGTGTCGAGTCTCTGTTCCATTCAAAATGGTAAACTCAAAACCTCTTCTTTTCTTTTTTATTTCAATTATTTCCTTGCAACTAAAGACGACGTCGTTTACAGGCTTCGGAGAAGAAACTATCAAATCCAATGAGAGAAATCAAGGTTCAGAAACTCGTCCTCAACATCTCCGTCGGTGAGAGTGGCGATCGTCTCACACGCGCTGCCAAGGCACGTTTATTTATTTATTTATTAATTAATATCAATTTTTGTTCATTTTCGTGTTTTATTTGATTTGTCTCTCGCTCGTTGTCTCTCGTAGGTTCTGGAACAACTGAGTGGGCAAACCCCTGTATTCTCGAAAGCTAGGTACACAGTGCGTTCGTTTGGAATCAGAAGAAACGAAAAGATCGCGTGCTATGTGACGGTTAGAGGCGACAAGGCAATGCAGCTTTTAGAGAGCGGTTTGAAGGTTAAGGAATACGAACTCCTCAGAAGGAACTTTAGTGACACTGGCTGCTTCGGCTTCGGCATTCAGGAACACATTGATTTGGGAATCAAGTAACCAAACTCTTCTCTTTTTCTTATTAGCTATTATTAATTAATTCCCCAATTTTTAATGAATATGACACTGCACAACAATTTAATCGCTATGGGGTTTCATAAATTAATGAGCCACTTAATTGTATAACAAGTTCTTCCTTAATTTGCCCCATTGATGCATGGATATGCATAGTTTATAATCCTGCGTTGGAAATAAAAGTCACTGTATTGGAATTCCTCTCTTTAGGAAATAGTGAATAAATTTATAGGTGTGCACTTGTTTCCTAGATGAGTTTATAACCCGTTGTTATGCCAACTGTTCAGAGAGTAACAACGCTCAGTTTTTCTTGTATTAATAAAATTCTATTGAGTTCTTTTAAATGTGCACTAAGTATTGCTGTGCCTCATTTCCATTGCTCCTGTGCTCGGGGGTTTTTTGTTTGTAACAGTGATGAGTTTCTTAGTTTAATCAACTGATTGTGCAGATTAGCTATTCCATTTCTAAACAAGTTGGAATTCAATCTATGGTTGTCTTTGAATATGAATGAATTCCTTTTCCTTAGTATATCTAATATTTTTGGAAGTTTTAATTCAGATGATGATCATGTATCAAAATTTTATTTTTTTGGTTTATGTTGTTTTGATATTTTTCTGCTTCAGGTACGATCCTTCAACTGGTATTTATGGAATGGATTTCTACGTTGTTCTGGAGCGCCCTGGTTATCGTGTGGGCCGTCGTCGTCGGTGCAAGTCACGAGTAGGAATCCAGCATCGTGTCACGAAGGAGGATGCCATGAAGTGGTTCCAAGTTAAATATGAAGGGGTGATCCTGAACAAGGCCCAGACTATTGTTAGTTAAATCAGGCTGTTCGTAAGTGCAAGTTTCAGGTTTTGCTGACTCTAGTTTGATGTTTCTATTCTTCAAATTATAGGTTCAAATTGCTGCCATGGTATGGATATTTCTTTTACAGGTCATGTGAGCTGTTTCTTGACAATTTTTTTTTTTAAATAACATTAAATTTTGACATTGATGTACCATACTGATGATACTGGGTTGCGTGCTCTGCATTTTTTTTTGGCATTGATCTATTTACCACTAGCCAGAAATTGAATTACAATATAGTTCAGTTTTTGCATAAGAAATGATTTTCAATGTGTGCCATCCAGAACTCAGCAGTCCACAATCTAAGGCCCCCTTAATGTTTCACACCATATGCTTCAAATTTGTTAATGTTTTAATATCGAATTACATAATCAAGTTTCCATCCTCCATATTCACTTGTATAGAATTCAGAAAGAGAAAGAAAACAAACAAGGCCAAGTTAAACCCAAGCTTTGTTACAAAGAAGCAGCACCAAACAACTTAACCTCAGGAATTCCAACTGCTAGTAAGGTTATGTGAACAAAATATTGCGACACGGGCAACTCATTTCTCAAGCCAGTTGGTTGGGTCCATTGAGTCCAATTATTCTTAGTAGCAAACTTAAGGCATCTTTATATGAAATATTTCGTTCACTCACTGTTAGGGAGCGTAAAAAAAGTGAAAAAATTAAATGAGATGTGTTTTTTTAAAGGTAGGAACGATGCTTGTATATGCAATTGTACTTGTACAGACTACGTTTATTATTATTATTTGGTCGACAGACTATGTATATCTGAGAAATTGAGAAGTGAAAACTAATGTAGTCAGGGATGGATCAAAGAAGGGTAAGGGGGGGTTTTGCTTGATGTCAATAGGTCCTATACTTATTAGGTATTTGCTAATTATACTCAGGTTAAATATTCGTTTAACGAGTTTGAGTCCGAAAGAATAAATACTCACTATTTTATGGATACGATTATGGGTGCGGCACTCCCAAATCACGTGTGCACACACACGTGTATATAATAAACATATATATTATATTTTATGTGCAAACATAATAAAAATTAAAATTTTAAATAAATAATATACACAACTTGACTTCAAAAGCTTATCATAACAGAACACACATACACAAAAAGGATAGGATCAATTCTACAGAAGGGAAAAAGATAGAAAATGGAAAAGAGGACAAAAAATGTTTCCTTCATATGAACAGCCAAAAAGTTGCCATAATTGGAAAAAAAAAATCCAATATTAATGGTTTGTCTCGTGCGTTGTGATGATATTGCCCCGTGTAGCTAGCTTTGTAAGTGTACAGGAAAAACAAAGAACAATTGCTTTATTTGGGAAAGAAGTTATACCTCAACTCAACCGTGGGAAGGGAAAAAAAATCCAACCCAATTACATTAGCAAACCAAAGTACACAAAAAGGAATAGTCTCTTCTACAAGAAATTAAACCGTGCAAGGTTACATCACATTTCACATGTATATATATTCATCCTAAGTAATATCCTAAACAGGATCCTACATATCCAAAAGTGTTCATCAAGCACTGTATCTTCATTCATTTGTGAGATACAAATTCTTATTAAAACCACACGTGTGGAGAATATGGCTATGAGGCCAAGAACACCTAGAACACAACCTTCAGTTCGTCCTGAATATGAAAAGTTCAACCCCAAGTCAGAGATTAAGGAAACAGACGAAGCATACGTTCTTCATATTTACCTTCCTGGTGCGTATTTAATTTTCAGTTCATAAAAAAGTTACTTAACATAGCAAAATACATCAACTTATGCGTATGGATTTATTTGAGAATTTCATCAAGGTACATGTCACAAGAAAATAAAGTTTTCGTAATATATTTATTAAATATTGATTATTTCTAGATGTTAAATTTTATTGGATTATAAATACTTTAGATTACTTTGTTTATGCTGGAACAATTTTAATTAATAAATAAATCTCTGTGGCATATTTTGATTAATTTTTCTTTAAATCAAAACAATCTAAGTTAACCATTTATAATATATATTCTTAAATTGAATAAAAAATTATAATTATATATGAAATAGTTGGAGGGGGGAAATAACTTGCAAAATGTCATTGCGACGTGAACTTTTAATTAATTGTTTCCAATAATTAATTGGAGAGTCACATTAAATTAAAGCAGTTAATACAGTTTGTGACCAACAATTTAGAGTGATAACAACCCAACAAAGTTAAAATATAGGATACTATATCGATATACTAATCTTCTGTAATTTAAGAATAAAACTCGAAAATATACTTTGTCCTAGGAATGGTTTTGAAGAACAATAAGTACACATTTTTAGTACTTAAAATTGTAACCGTTAAGTCATTTTAGTATTGGACTTTATAAAATAATTTTTTATTTTATAAAAAATATTTATTTTAGTCTTTTTTACTTTATCTTTTATTGTTATTTTTTTATAAAAAAAATTAAAAAATGTCATTTTGTAAAGTTAAGAATTAAAATAAAATTTTATAAAGTTAAAGCAATCACTGTTTATAATTAAAATTTATATTATTATTATTATATTTAATTAATTATAAAATAATTTAAATTCTCTTGAAATAATCCAAAATCTCATTTGAGGGAAATTTTTTTAAAATAAATGTGTTAAAAAACTAATTAAATAGTTTCAGCCAAATAAAATCGCTTCAAGTTTAGACCTATATAATAATTCTCTATTTTAGGCTTCTCATGGTCTTCCTAACATGCCAGTAGCATCTCACCTGACAGGATTAGGGATATATAACTTCTTATTGTTTTTTTATGATAAAAAGAATTTAAAAACAATTTCATAAAACTTTTGTTCAAAACATTAGGATCTTGAGTAGAAAGCCCGGACAAAAAAAAACAAGAATTATTATCTTTTATCGAACACATTCATTATCAAGAATGAAGTTGTAAAATTGTTAATTATTTTTAATAATAATAATAGTAATAAATAAGCAAAATAAAATTGCAGAAGAAGAAAACAGAGGAAGTATATTCTTCCAAAGTGATATCGTGAATCACATCCCAACAATTTTTGGCCTATAAATTACACTTTTATATCCATCACTCTTATTTATTCCCAAAGACATCGTAGTTTCATCAAACATGGAAGAAACGTGTGCAAAACTCACATATGAGATGCATGCATGGAAATTAACATCTCATTCTTTTCCCCTATGCAGGTTTTGTCAAGGAGATGATAAAGATCAATTTTGTAACAGCTTCCCGAACACTGAGGGTTGTAGGAGAACGACCAATTAATGCAAATAGAATGAGCCATTTCGAGCAAACACATACTGTTCCAGAAAATTGTGAGGCAGAGAAACTTCTGGGCAAGTTTGAGTATGGAACTCTCACTATTACAATGCCAAAGAAGTCCATAATGTCACCTAAAGCACAAATTGAAACCACAACAAAAAAGGGTCCAACACCAATTAGTCCTTCAAGGAAAACTGTGCCTGATATGCGTCCAAAACCTCCAACTACTAGAATGCAACAAGAGGAAGAACCTATTAGAGACAAGAGAAGACCCCAATATAATGTTACAAAGGAAACTATGCTAAAAGCCACACCCCCAAGAGATCAAATGGGTAAGTCTCAAAAGGGTCAAGAGGAAATTGAGCCAAAACCCACATCAACAATAGAAGATAAGCGTGAAGAGGAGATGAGGAAAAAGGCCATATCATATATAGAAACAATCAAAAGGAAAATACATGACACTGATGAGAAGAAAAATGAAGTTAAAGAAGATGGGAAGCCTTATGAGGCCAAAATGCCCGAGAAATACATTGATCACAATATGGTTTTGCAAGGAAAAGAAATAAAGGCAAGAAAGTCACCGAAGGAAGCTGAGTCATCATACGCTCCAAAAGCTCAAGAGAAGGGAAAAGAAACCATTGACAAAGCAAAGGTTGAAGAGGATGAAATGTACACAATAGGGAAGGGAATCAAAGAAGTGGCTGCTTCAGCTTCAGAGGTTGTCACAAGAATAGGAGAAGGAAATTTGAATGAGGAAGAAAAGCCTTTAGTTGCAAACATGGGTGCTGCAGTTCTTGTAATTGTGGCACTAGGATCTTATTTGACCTATAAGTTTATCTCTTCTGGCAAAGCCTAAAACTAGTTGTGCTCAAATGATGTGAAATCTTTGGAATATCTTCATTAGAATTAGAATCTTCAAGTGTAATTGAAGTCATGCAAGGTGTAGGACCAAGCGTTGAAGATATATAATTTGACACCCTTTAATTCAGTTGTTTCAAAAAGAATGACCATAATTGATCATTGACAAATATTTTAACCGTAGCTGAAAATTAATATTCGATCTTAAGACATCTAAAAGGTTTGCATTATTTAGAAAGACTACAAAGAGACCATTTAAAACAAAAGGATATTTAGGTTTCACATGTCATACGGGGGATACCCTTAAGAAAATTAACAATTAACTTCCTATTAATTAACAAGAAATAGTCATAGGGTTTTCATAATTTCATATTTGTATATTATTTATACATGCATACATTTGAGAGGTAGTTTCTTAGAATTTTTTTGCAAGTATAAGCATCTCATTAAAATTAAATGTCCAAAAGAGCTTTATTAGAAAGTTTTTATTTTATTTTTTTACTATGTTTCACTTAAATGTTTTAGTTTTTACTTTTTCTATTTTGACAATTATGAAAACAATTTTTACACCAAAATTTATAATTTTAAGCATTTTTATTCTAAATTTATTGAAATTTCTATTTTCAATGCATTGGTTTAAACAAACCTCCACTTTAATTGTTTTAATGGCAACACAAAATATAACCTTTTGGTTTTCAAATTGTTATTTTGCTGAAAGAAGTACAGTAGAAAATGGTTCCAAGAAGAGGACAGCACAAAAAGATCCTTATTTTCACTTTTTATCCTCTATTTTATCACTCTCTCAACTTTCTTCCTTACATTTCCTTTAACTTTTCTCCATTATTTTGCAAATTTTTTGTAATGTGTTTGTTAGATTTTTTACATTTTTCTTTGTCCATGCAACAATTTGAATTTGAGAAAAAGTTGAGAAACTTCTTCATATTAGTCTTTTCTTTTTTAAAAGATATTTTTATTTTATTATATTTTTATACTAATTTCTGTAATCATTATGTAAATTAATATGAGAATATCACAATAAAATATTGGATATATTTTAGATTTAAATCGAATGAAAAATTAGATTCCGTAGCAATCAGCATACCTATACTTTTGTAGCTAGTACATAAGTATTTTGAGAACACGCATAATCGTGCTTATAGTCATACATAGTCGTACTTGTGAGAAATCTAATTCTAAAACAATTTCAGGATTTTCAAACTCTATTAAAGAAAATTTTAAAAAAGTAACTTTTACACATCCTTTTAATATCATTCTCTCTACACTTTTTTTCACATCTTTTTTACAAATTAATATTACGTAATTAGATATTGATAAAAAAATAACTTCTGATTGAAAATTTTAATTTTTTTTATCTAGAAATAAAGTACAAAATTATATATTCACAATATTATTGTATTTGATGTTTAAATTAATAAAATTCTTATCAATGTTACTCTTTAACATATATATATTCTTTCTTAAAGGATCTTATTGTTTTTCTAAAAAAAATATTAAATTTTGATTATATAATTGAAAATATTAAGTTTTGTAATTATAAAGCCTGTATATAGAGCTTTGCAAATTAGTTTACAAACACTCAATGAAATAACAATAGAATCGGGAGAGAGTTTTTGAAAAACAAGGACAAAGTGGTAAGCAATTTTTTATTATTAAATTAATATAATCATGTATCTTTTATGATAATAAATAATTAATTAATACATTAAAAGTTTATATTAATTTATTATTTTGTATCTTTTATTCTAAAAATCATCAAATTAAAATATAATAATTTAAAATAGTTATTTTTCATTTTTTTTTCATATGAATTCTCCTTTCCAAATAATCTCTTTTAAGTATTCCAAAATTTATGAATTTCTATACATAAAAGTGGACACAAACCATTCATCATATAACTTCTGTTTATTTATTAATTAACACTTGAATATATCAAATTTTACTATAATAAGTAAAATAGTTGAAATGATTTTTTCCTTAATTTTAACATTTTTAATTTTTTTAAAATGGTGAACAAATAAAAGAGAGTACTATGAATTATTTAAAAATATAATATGAAAAAAATTGACAATCCTCATGTGTAATCCATTACTTATAAACTCAATTTTAACTTGAATAAAATTGTCGTGTGTATTTTTTAAAAAATTTGACAAATTAAATCATAAAACAAGTTACAATTTTTCTTTTATATTTTATTAATAAGCATATTGTATATTAGCCCTAAGCAGTAACGTTGAACTTATTAGGAAAAGTTATTTATATTCAACAATTAATCACTAATGTACAAATTACAAATCAATCAGAGAAAGTTATTTATATTCAACAACAATTAATCACCAATGTACATATTACAAATTAATTAGAGAAAGTTATCTGACATCTAATATTGAAATAGTCACTTCATTAATTGAAGTTCTAGACGATTCTACCTCATTAGGGATGACTCTTTCTATTAAGAAGCCAGGCTCTTTTGGTTGGGGTAAAACAATTTCATTGGTTAGCATAACAATTACAGCTGCCATGTTAGGTCTATCATCTGGATGATGTTGCAGACATAAAAGACCAACTTGAAGGCAACGTAAAGCTTCAGATATAATATATGACTCTCCTAAATAATCATCCATTAATTCCATTGGATTGCCTTGTTTCCACAACCTCCATGCCTGCCACAATTCAAACAGTGTTGTTATATACATTTCCTTTAGGAATACATACACATACGTATATGTATATGTACACATGTATATATAATTATTTTTTGTTACTCACAAGTCCAATGAGATTATAACTATTGCTTGTGTATGAAAGATCTCTATTTTTCTTTCCGCTTACAATCTCAAGCAATAATATGCCAAAGCTAAACACATCAGATTTTATGGAGAATAACCCATCAATGGCATATTCTGGTGCCATATAACCACTGAAAAGAACAACAAATGTGTCAAATGGAAGTTCATTTTTCCATAATAACTTCAATATAAAAAAAGACACTTACTATGTTCCGACTATTATATTTGTATTTCCTTCAATTTGATTATCTCCACAAATTCTTGCTAAGCCAAAATCTGAAATTTTTGGATTCATATCATTGTCTAATAAAATGTTACTTGCTTTTAGATCTCTATGTATGATCCTTAATCTTGAATCTTGATGTAGATAAAGAAGTCCACGAGCAATTGCACACATAATGTGAAAGCGCTTCGACCAATCTAGTAGTTTGCTTTGAGTTGAATCTGATAATATTATCCATTTTATTAATTAGTATTTTCTTTCTAAAATGAAATATAGAACAAATAAAACTTTTATCATATATTTATCAACTTTGTAGAGATACCAACCGAAAAGAAATGAATCCAAGCTTTTGTTGGGCATGTATTCATAAAGTAACATTTTTTCCTCTCCTTCAATGCAACAACCAAGGACCTTAACAAGATTTCGGTGTTGAAGTTGAGCACACAATATGACTTCATTCTTAAATTCTTTTACTCCTTGTCTAGAACTCTTTGAGAGCCTTTTGACAGCAATTTCTTGTCCATCTAATAATGTACCCTAAATATAGTTAAGAAAATTTGTTAACTAATAAAATTCATGAGTTTCTTACATCGAATTACTAATAAAATTATTTCATATATTACCTTATATACTGGCCCAAAACCACCTTGTCCAAGCTTGTTATCGTCTGAAAAACCATTGGTGGCATTGAATATTGTAGCAAAATCAAAGAAAGGAAGCTCCAAATTGTGTTCTTCATCTTTATCTACCTTTTCAATTGATATGATGTTCTTTATTTCATCTTTCATTCCTATGTATATGAGATCAATGTCATTGATAAATAGAAAAGTCAGAAATTTGTCTTAGAAAGCTATGTTCGCAGGGTTATTTTGATAAATTTCCCAAATGCTAGTCTTAGAAAGAGAATAGGAAAAAAAATAAATCAAAAATTATTTTATCGGTTAAAGTTAAAATTCTCAAATAATGAAACTTTTAAAAAACTTAACATGTATAAAAGGACTTTGACTCATCTTGCCTCCTTAATTTCTTATATTTTCTTATCAAATAAATATTTATCAAAAAAATTATTCAAACTTGTCAATATTATCATATAGTTCAAATTTTGTTCATACTAAATGCTATATATTTTTAAACAAAAATTTTTTTCCAACAGTTGTGAGATGCATATTTTCATTTAGAGCAAGATTGGTGAATATGATAGAATAAAAAGGAATATAATACGAGAGTTGAATAAAAACATGATAAGATAAAACTAAAATAACAAACTATAGATATATTGCGTTATCTTGTTTTGTCTATTTTCAACCCAACTTTTTCAGGAAGGATAAAATTTATATCAGAAAGAATGATAAAATAAGCTCATAGAATGTCATATTTTGTTAGTTAAATAAACGTAAAAAATAGAACACAAAAAATATAATATAAAAAAAAGCCTATTATGTTGTCTTATTTGTCTAGATATACTAAGAATATACTACTTAAATTTCAAGGGATATAATAGAATACAAAAGTTATTCTGCATAAGAAACAATGTAGCATACTTATCTCTCTAATTTTATGGCGAATCCGTATAATAATATCATAAAAATTAACTTGCTTGAAATGTTCAACATTTCTAAGAACTTACCTCTGATCTTTCTTCTGGCTCTGTAAATATAGTATACAAGAAGTAGCAAAACCAGAGCTGATACCAGTGTGATCGTAATTATTAAATCCTTCTTTTTCTTATCCCCATCTTTTGCATCTCCATTTGAAGCTGCAATCGTCAAATTTCATGTAGTGAAGTAATAAGCAGTGACCCATCTCTCAATGCTATATATTTATACAGTAATTTTGTATATATTTTATTTTGTTTAAATATATATGTTTTGAGTTTTTAGCAAACTCAATTATGCTACATGAATCATGTATGGCAACTTTATTTAATAGGATAAAGTTGTGTAAATTATTAGATTTAGTCTCCATTTACTATTAAATAAAGACTAATTTAGATGTTTTCATGTGTCATTTTTGTGTCTTATGTCACTTTTTCTTAGAGTCACGTTAAAGATAGAGACAAAAATTAACAATGTTTAAAAATGTAGGAGTTAAACCAGACATAATAATTTTGGATAAATTAAGGTTAAAATCAAAATACAATATGGTTAAAGGACTAAAATCATATTTAATTTTTTTAAAAATAAAAAATTAGGAAAGACAAACTGTAGAATAAGAAAAATGATATGATAGAAAAAAGTTTAAAAAAATAAATTATTAACTTTAACGAAAATATGGTAAAAATAATATCTGATTAAATAAAGTTAAAAGAAAATAATAGCATTTACCATACCTATATCTGGAACAGCCTTGCGAATATAGAGATCCTGTTGGCTTGCTGTAATCAATTTCAAATCGTTAAGATCTCCAAACCAAATGGAACAACCACTACCACCACCTGTTATGTCTAAGTTAGAATAAGCCATGCATGAGCAATTTTCCAAACACTTGACCTTGCAATCCTCAAGTGTCATATTACCATTGGTCCAAGAATTTCTAGTATCTGGTCCTTTAATTGAATAGAATCTTTGAAAACCATCTTGGTTTCTCACACCACACCTCCAAGGTTCACTACGCACACATCCCTGTGTCCAATCAAACATGTCCCAATTCTGGGGCGATTTTGGCTTGAACCCTTCTAAACATTGGCAAATTGGTGTCTCATTATCCTTGCAATTTCCATTAGGGCCACAAGTGTTATAAAGATCACAATCATCTCTTGGAATAGACTCAAAAACCCTCCAAGTGTTGTTCTCAGGAATCCAATTCATGCGTTGACGATGAGAAAGTGTTTGGTTCAAGTAAGTTATTGAAATCATGGACTTGTTGGCAAGGGTGTAAGAGTAATAAACCTCATTTGAATTGTTGACAAAATTGGGGTCAACAATTCGAGCCATCCTCAATACGGGCTGTCCACTGAACCCAGGCCCATTCCAAGGCCCACTTCTATGGTACTCAATTGAACCATTCCAAAGTACCAATTCAGGGTTGCTACTAAGGAGCACACCCCATGATAAGTTTCCTGAAGATGGGTCATCCCAACTCTTCCAAGCAGTTAGTTTCCTATTAAGACCAGTTTTTAGGTCCCATCCAAGCTTCATCCCTGGCAAGAGTGTGTCACAAGGATGGTCAAAGCTTTGCCACAAGAAACTTTCTTCTTTCTTGTTCTCTTTAAGTACCAAGTTTCCAGTGTCCAAGAGTTGAACCAAAGGACTCTTCAAAGGTTGTGTTGTTGTGATGTTTGATAACCAAAGAGTTTGGTGGTTGTTATTGACAAGTACGAGGTTTCCCTCTTTGCTTATGGTTAACATGCTAAAATTGTTGTTTTTTATTGCGTTGTCACGGTTGGCAACCCAAACAACAGTTTTAACTGGGATGGTTTTGTACCAAATTCCTATGTAACGGTTGGTGGATCTACCGGGACTAAAGAACCCCAACTCAAAGGTTCCATGGTTTGAAATCAAGGTGCTGCCATCATCGTGAAGTGGCTGAGACTGGGTAATGGTGTCAATTGCTAAGGAAATTGGAGAGAAGAAGATTATTATTAGCTTGGAAATAACTACAACATTCATGAGAGGAAGAGTGGCCATTCTGCATTAATCGCTGCATGGATTAGTTCCCACACATGTTGAATATATACATGTATATGGACATTAAGTGGATGCGTTGGTCTCATTGAAGTTGCCTCAATTGACAATAAAACATTAATACTAGAAAATGACATAAAAATTACAAATTCATTTATTTTTCCCGACAATTATGCGTATTGCGGTCAACATACGGCGATCACTTGTGATTATTATTGTTATTTTAAAAAAATATTTCTTCTTATCGGTTATTTTCTAAGTTTTTTTTTTTACTTTTAGCTTTTAAAAAGTTTAAATATATTTTAGCCTTTATATTTTTTATATTTTAATATTTTTTTTAAAATTAAGTCCCCAAATTTTGTGAATCCAATGTTTTTTTAATCCTAAATGGCATGACTTACTCACATGTTAAGTTTTTGTGCTGCATATCAAATTTATGTTAGAGCATTACACCGGAAACTAGAAGCTTTGAAGTTAAAAAAATCAAAGTCTAAAATTAAAAAAAAAAATAAAAGATAAAAATTAAAATACTCGAAAATATAAGAATTTAAAATATATATATTTTTTCAAAATAATATTAATCACCCTTTCCAATTATATTATAATATAAAATAAAAAAATTATTTTTAAAAAGTATAATAAAAAAAGACGATGATTTTAATGAAAATAAAAATGTGAAATTTATTACTTAAATTCTGTACAAAATCTAAAAATAATAAATAAAACGAAGAAGAAAGTATTTGTGTGCTAAGCAATAATTGGAGGCCAAAAATGAATGGACTGAACAATGTAATGTAATTAATGTTTCTATAATAATTTAAAATGTCTCCTTTTGTCATGCCGACATTTAGAAGTTTTTTAATTTAAAATAAAATAAATAGAAAATTTTAAATATGTAATTTTTTGGGAAAGTTATTTATATATGGTATTTGGTAATTAAAAAATACAGAAACATGATATTTTCTGCGTATTTACTAAGATGTAGTGTTTCAAAAAATGCTAAAGACGAATTTTGGAGGAATAGAACTATGGCAGCTTATTCAGAGTGGACTGGAGTCTGAAGTACTAGAGGCTTTTCAAAAAATGCAAATGGCATCTTTTGGAGGAACAAAACCATAACAGCATGCTTAGATTCTAGTTTCATGTGTCAGAAAGTTTTCAAAAAATGTCAATGGCAATTTTATTTGGCTCAAGAAATTTCTGTATATAGTTGTCACATCATTTCCTGATCTTTGTAGTTATATAAAATTGCAAATGATAATTTTTGACCATGTAGATCACTGCATGCAAGTCAAGCATAGAACCGAAGCTATATAAAATTGCCAATGATAATTTTTGACCATGTGGATCACTGCATGCAAGTCAAGCATAGAACAGAAAAAGTTAAGAACCTTAAAATTATCATTGACAATTTTTTTTGGTAATTATATTTTGATTAGTAATTATTACAAAGTTTTTTTTTAAATTATTAAAGTATGTTTATTTTTATTTTTTGGTTATTTTAATTATTTTGTTAAATATATTTTTAAAACATAGCATGGTTAATTTAGAAATATATTTTTGTTGATATTATTATTATAGTGGAATAATACTTTGCAAATATGTATGTAATATATTTTTGTAATATATTTAAGATGTGTTATAAAATTATAATTTAATAAAAAAAGTGTATATTTTAAAATTTTAGTTATTTAAACAATTAGTAATTAAAAATTTTCATGAGGATAAAATTTTGAACTAACCAATTAGATAAATAATTAGTAATTACTAATTGTAAAATAATTAATTAGATAAATTTTAAATTTGAGTTTATAAGTTAAATAATTAATATAAGAAATGTCTTAATAATTTAATAAAAAAAGTGCATTTTGATAATGTAAATTTAATTAGTTATTAATTTAACATCTTTTTTTTTAATTTAGTAATTAATATTTTTTCCTTTTCAATTTATTTATTAATATAATTTTGAATGTGTATTGTTCTTTTAAAAAATATTGGCATTATTGTATTTTATTTAAGGATATAATAATTGTTTTTTAAATGATTAATAATAGGTAATGAGATTATTTCGCTTTCTTCACTTATCAATAATACCACCTAGAACAGAGATCATGAATATTTTATGGCATATTGGCTTTGATCGAATTTCTCAAATTTGTCAAATGCAAATAAATAGTTCACTTGTAAATATACTTGTGAAATGTTGAAGGCATGAAACACACATTTCACTTACTTTGTGGAAAAAGTACAATTATATTAGATGTTTCTATGTTGCTTGGACTTTAGATCAACAGGGCATCAGTGATTGGTTCTACAAATTCCTTTATTGTAGTAATACAGGAAGTGTGTGAAAACTTAATAGGGTGTTGACCTGAATCAAACAAATTAAAAGATAAAAAATTAGATTAAAGTGGTTAACACAACACCTTGATCAACTTCCTATTAATTCTGACATTAGGATACAATAACATGTTCGTGGATATATTCTTTGTTTGTTGGGACATGTTCTGATACCGAATAAAAGTAATTAAGTGGTACATGCAAAATTCTTGCATTGTTGACAAATGTAAGTCAAATTGGCAATTATAGTTGGGATCATCAAATTTGGCTTTTCTTTATAGAGGGTTGGATCATAGTACCAAACATGATGCTAAATAAATTTATGGCTGCTTGATATTTTTGCAGGTGTGGGCATGGGATCGACTGCCATGGTTGGCTCCAATGTTAGGTGAATCAATAATATTTTCACTTGGTCTTAGATAGAGACACTTGTGATATCCAACGAATACTCCGTTTAAGAATTTTGAAAATATCATATCAACATTGGATCAAGTAGGTATTCATGAGGAAAATATTATTAGTAATTCTTATGATATGTTAAATCAGTCTCTACAAACAAACATTTCTTATAGATCATAACACTAATATTATTGCTTTTATCACATTTTTTATGGAAATCATATGTGGATGATCAAATTGATTCAGTAATTTTAGATGAAGTGAGACGTGAACGACCAATAATTAGCCCTTTGATATGTTTTGAAGTTAAAGAGTGGCATGCAACTAATCGTGTAATGCATTAATTTGGATATACTTAACCTATTCTTCTTCAGCCCCAACAACTTAGGGAGTCCATAACAAAGACTTACGTGCAGTAAGAGAACTAAAGAATTGGGCAATCATACATGATGATTAGGTGACAATATAGGAGCATCAAAATGAACGTATTTTAGAAAGAGTCCTAACTCAGAATTTCTATCATTCTAATGAATATTGGGCATGGTACACATTGAATGCAATGAATTGACTATGGTTATCACCACATATGGAAGGCCCAACACCTTAACAAGGAATGTTGCCTATGGGACTAACACTTTCTAAAAATGCTGCAGCGAAAATCTCAGAGGAAACTGCATTTGGTTTTTACAGAATCTCGCTACAGTAAGACTGCACCAAAAAATGCACCATCTTCTGTTGCCTTCTCGCTACAACAAAAATGCAACAGTTTCAAGTTCTACGCCTAGGGCCTTCTTGCTACAGCGAGAATGTCCCTGTAGCACATTCCAACCTATATTTTTCCAAATAGTCCAGCCTAATCACAATTCAAATCAATTCACATTCATACTCTCATACACATAGTCATACACTTCCACATCATCACATATATTCAAATCATGCATCTAAACATCATATATACATACATACATACATACACACACACACACACACACACACACACACACACACACACACACATCCAAACAATAACTCACTTATTAATAATAAATAATTTACGAAACTTGGAGTGTTACAACTCTCCCCTCCTTTAGGAAATTTTGCCCCTGAAATTCAATCCAACTAAACAAATAACTCAGGATACAGCTCTCTCATTTTACTCTCTGTTTCCCATGTGGCATCTCCCTCATCACTTGAGCTCCATATCCTCTTTACCAATGAGATCTCCCTACCCCTCAGTTATTTGACACGGTGGTCTGCAATCCTCACCAGGTATACATCATAGGACAAGTCCTCCCTCACTTGAACCGGGTCAAGGTCAATCACGTGAGAAGGATCTGACATATACTGCCTGAGTTATAACACATGGAACACCAAATGTAGGTTTGAGAGATTCAGAGGCAACGTTATCCAATACGCTGCAGGACCAATTCTACTCAGCACTTCGAACGACCCAATGAACTTAGGAGGTAGCTTTCGAGATTTCAAAGCTCTTCCCATTCCGGTCACAGGTGAGACCTGGAACTCCAAGGGTTTCCTCCTCTTATCATAATAGCTCTTTTGCCGATCTTGTGCAGCTTTCATTTTTCTCTGACCATCTTAGTCTAGTCATTCTGCTTCTGAACCATGTCTGGTGCACACAGAGTAGCCTCTCCTGTCTTATACTAACATAGGGGAGTTCTGCACCTCCGCCCATACAAGGCCTCAAACGGTGCCATCCCAATACTAGCGTGGTAACTGTTCTTGTATGTGAACTCCACCAATAGCAAACATTTCTCCCAAGTCCCCTGCTGCTCGAACACACAAGCTCTTAACAAGTCCTCCAAGGACTGGATGGTCCTCTCCGTCTGACCGTCAGTATGATGATGATACGCCGAACTAAGCCTTTGTTTAGTACCCAAAGCTCTCTGCAAGCTCTCCCAAAACTTCAAAGTAAACCTCGGGTCTCTATCTGATACCACACTAGTCGGCACTCCATGTAGTCTGACTATCTCCCTCACATACAAGTCTGCTAGTTGTTCCAATTTGTACTTAATATTGATCGGGCGAAAGTGCGCAACTTTAGTCAACCGATCTACTACCACCCAAATGGCGTCATGGTTGTTTGTGGTTCTCGGTAAAACAGAAACAAAGTCCATGGAAATGTTGTCCCACGTCCACTCAAGGATCTCCAACAGTTGCAACACTCCAGGTGGACGCTGGTGTTCTACGTTCACTTTTTGGCAAGTTAGGCATCTAGCCATATATTCTGCAATATCCTTCTTCAT